ACTACTCACAAGGTTGCTGAAAACTCTTCGACAGCCCACGACCGGTTTCGCCCTTCTTGGGGCTCATCAGGTAGGCGCAGTCCCCACAAATGAGGAAAATAAAGTATCTGCTAGGCTTCTGTTAGTGTAGTTCAAACATATCTAATAGAAGCTCCTCAGATAATTCTTTTTTTTCGATGACCAACGCAACTGGCTACTTGACACCTTTTGTTTAGATCCCATCGCACCTCGCAGTCTGTATCTTATTACATCTTGGTTGGCATGAATGTCTGCGCTAGTATCCCTGGACTTAGAGGGCTCGGGCCATTGGTTTGAACTCGTCGCTGCGATTTATTCTCTGCGCTTGAAGAACCGAGCAGTATCTCAGTCCTCACATTCACTTATGACGGATCGCCACTGTGTGCTAAAAAGGAGCCATGACTGAACGATTTGGTTTAACGTAAACAACCCGGCCCATCAAAGCGATTACTTTTCAGAATGCCCATCAGTGGCTGTCGGTATTTGCTAGGGTTCTGGAGACACGCAATTGTATGAAACCTCTGTATCATTCGCTAAGACCCCGAAAAGGAACCTTTGGTAGAAGTAAACTCAGTGCTTTACTTCCTCCCGATACCAACAAGACTTCTTTCTCAGATCATTTAAGTTGTAGACTTCACTGGATAGGTCTTGTAATCAGGACGTGCTCTGAAGTACGGGTATCGCACCCGAACGTTAACCAAGTGCCGACCGGCTATCAGATCCTTTTTGTAGCAGTGGATAATAATTCCGTTTTTGATGCATTTAGGGTTTGCGGGAGGTGTATTGTTCAACTTCACATGACTCTCGTTCGAACAGTCGTCCTCCTGTTCTGGCTTAGTTATTCTGGTGAATCCACATCAAGGGGGTGGGGTAGGCACTGAACCCGAGTTTGGCTCTTGTTAGGGGTCATCAGCAGTGCATATCCAATGACCGTGGCGGGATTTGAACTCCCGACACCTGAAATGCGAGGTGAACTGTTACCACTATTCCACTATTCACCAGAATACTTGCGCCAGGACAGGAGGACGACTGTCCAAACGGGATTGATGTGAAGTTGAACAATACACCTCCCGCAAACCCCATATGCATCAACAAAAGTCGTCCAGCCGGTTTCAAGCGTCTGTAGAGCTACCTGACTGGGAAGTTCTGTCAAGCGGGCCGATCGATCGTCACAACCAGGACAGTTACTGGGTCGTCGTATCGATGATGTGTCGGGCATATTAATCACATCGCTCAAGCGTGAACACGTTCGACCTTTCAGACGTGAGAATTCAGATGCGTCCAACGTGCGCTGGTGGAATAATGGTAGCATGTTCGCCTCGCATATCAGGTGTCCGGAATTCTGTTTTTCCTCCTTCCCCTTCTTCTTATCCGTTATTGCTGATTCTTAACCTCTTCTACCCCCCTCTCACATTCATCAGGTCTGATTGAGGACTGGCTACGCGGGTCACAGCCAGATTTACTACACTTTGTCCCCTGTACCTACAAGTTCCGCATTTCTGCCGACGGGTTGAATTTCGTTCTGCTCGCGAACGACTATAACTGGGTTTCGTCCACCACGGAAAACGGTAAGTACTCTACTTCGTTTTCCTGTTCACACTCACACATAATTCTTGCTTTTGTCCTTACAGCACATATTGCATTCGCAGGGAAAAGGTTCTCGCTTTCGTTTGATCTGCCGTTTGTGGACTACTTGCCTGATGTCGTTCCCATTGTCTTCGCCATTGAGGTGAGCTGTTATTTGTCGGGAATCGCTTTCAAAAGTCCCGATTTTTGTTGGAGGGTATTCTTCAAGGATGTGATTTGTTCTCTGGAAAGCCCAGAGCCATTTCGGCGATTTGGTCCTGTAGGTCTATGTTCTTACCTACCTTATTACACCTCTGCGTCTTTTGAGGAAAACTCTAAGGATGCCCAGAATGGATCTGATCCTGTCAAATAATTGTATCGATCCAGTGGAGATAAGTTACGCCATCGGATGACTTTAGTTTAGGATAGACGTGTGTGTTGACGCGATCGGTAACAGATTATTAGTGCTCTACTCGATTCACACCGGTAGGAATGACCCAATCGCGCTCATGCATCAAAGCTATCGCCTTCAATGCGTAGCTAGGCAGTTTCCGAACTAACCAGATGTGCCGTCGCCTCTAAGGCTTGGCTGTGTGCCCCACACTGTCCCCGTTTTCCGGTGATCGAAACTGTAGCAGCTGAAACCAATGTGCCTATGTCACACGGCTTATGGCTAATAAATTGAAATCGAATTGAATTGTTTCGATTGGCTGGAGGCCGTAGGTCTCACCGGTAGCCGATTTATATCTTTTAGCGCTAAATTCCAAGTTGGTGCCTTTATGGCCGAACGGAGAACCTGCTCACTTTTGTGTAAGAAGGATGAATCGGAAGCGGGGCATTGATTAGCGAAGAACGGTGTTTTGAATTGTTATTCCTCTGGAAAAGATCTTCCTTGGGGAAATTGCCGTACTCTTCTGTTGTGGCCTCTCACACTGACTCGGATGCCCGCTTGTGTTATCCACTTTTTGATCATTATCTTAATCTTATCTTAATCGATGAAGAATGGGATGTGACCGCCTATGTTCAACCCTAGAATGAATTCTTCACAACCATGACTTGAATAATATCAGGCTTATTGTAACGGAATACTATCTGTGTTGATGTGCATATCCGACACGCTCGAAGGGCGAGGACGCTCCAAGGAATTCTCCTAGGTGGGACAAAACTCTCATCCAAATGCTCACTACTGCTGTTAGGGGTCAATAGAATACAAGAATAGTAATTATTCACTGTGGACTGTACAATGATGCCAGCTTATAGCCGTACAGTCTCTTTCTTAATACTTGAAATCGATCATTCATTTTTCTTAATTTCTCCGGCACGGACGATGGCTATTTTACGCTGTTCTGGCTTCTGACTTCGTACTGCTTCATTTTTCATAACTCGTAGATAAATTCTGCCAAAGTGAGATTCTCGCTGCCGGAAACGAATTCTCTATTGCATATAATTCGTGATCAACATAGTCGGCTGAAGCTTGTCGATCGATCCGGTCGTTTACTCAAAGCCAATCCATTCGAAGTGTATGAGGAACTCATTCCGGGGCAGTTGGCCGGTGATAAGCCGTAAGTTTGATGCATGTAATTTGGTTAGTTTTGTGGACCAGTTCTTGTACATGTGCTGACCGTAATTCGACTGTCAGTGAGATATCTCCATACGACCAGTCGGTCGGCTGTCGTTTCACCATGGCTGAGCCTTGCGCGCTTGGACAAGGAAACTCGCGCGGTTCAGTCATTTGTCCCATCTAGGATGAACTAACACTTCCGAAAATCATCTGATCAATTTCAGCGTTAATGATCCGCCAGACACGAGTCGTTGTTTCGCGATCATTTGAAGCGGAATCTGGCAGTCAGGCACTAGATACGTAAAGCCACATCAATAATTGATGCCCTGGTCACATCACTCTTCTATACGTGTTTTATATCTTTCGTCAACTCTCACACATTACTCTCTCCGCTTCAGCGCTCACCGTATTTGGTTCGATTGCGGGAGAGCACCGTTTGTTACACTTCGAATCGCATTCACCTACCATCCTTCACCATGGGTTGCCGAATACTGGCGATTCTTGCCACGGCATCTTCGTCCCGAAATCCCAGTGGCCAAGTTTTCTGGACGCAGTCGACACAGGCGGAAGGGTCGCAAACGACCTCATACCACAGCTACGTTTGAGGTGGCTTCTGATTCGTCCAGCCAGGTAGCTTTTTCCGGAATATTTATAGTGTGTTCATGCAAAATGCATCCAATTCGAAGCTGAAAATGTAGTATTGATTAAACTATCCACCATACCGTTGTACTTTTGAGGGGAGTAGGTCATCTCTTGAATTAGGTTGTTATCTTTCCAAACGTTGGGGTTTATTAATTTCCATACTTACACAGCTGCTTTTTGTTTGTTAACCCCCCGGAACCGCCAAGATTTGTAGCACCACAATCTTGTCAAACTCTTCGATCCACGTCACACAAATGGCGTTGCGTATTTATATACCTGTTTATTAGTGGCCGAATTTAATACAGCTTCAAGTTGAACTTCAGGTGGAACATAAGGTTGACGGAAACTCGATGATTGCGCCTATCTGATGAGCCCCAAGAAGGGCGAAACTGGTCGTGGGCTGCCTAAGAGTTTTCAGCAACCTTGTGAGTAGTTTCCTTTACAACTTCATCCACTTCGTCTTAAACTTGCTCGTGCCGTTTTCTTGTGGTTGGGACCACCAGTCCTCTTATGCTGTGGCCTAGTGCGTCACACACTGAATATGCAACATTGAATTCGTCTTCGAGCGACAAGAACAATCATGTTGAACTCATTCATGCAGTCAACGCTGATAATGGGGCAGCTCCAATTATATGTTGAGTGCATCTTTAATATAATACTACTCCTACTCCCAGGAAGAACGACATGAATGGTCTCTTAATAAGTGTTGCACTTGTTCCTCGTTTCCCTTCTAGCGGATTTTGTTACTGCATTGCTTCCACGCCTTATTCTTTTCGAGGTGCGCAGCAAATACAAAAAAGCTCCTCAGCAAGTAACACTCCCCGGGGATGATAATACCGCTCCAATTTAAGGAGCTCCCCCTCTCGACGAATCTGATCGGCCAACACCTCAAGTGCCTGTAAAGTGTCTAAGTTGGCATCACGACTCTGAGTAAGCTAACGACAACGAAGCACTGTAATGCCTTCTTTATCACCTTACTACAGATATCCTACACCGTACACTACACTACCCGATATACTGTTGCGAAGCATTCTTGGGAGCCTCATCCAAACTCGTCCGTTTGACCTCCTGTTATTCACGTTGGTCTTTTATTGATTTAACAGCACACACTTCATCTGACTTTTTTGTTCGTATCCTGTTACAACAACGAGAATGTATCATATTCATCTAGCAGATTCGTTTAGGTTCTATCTGTTTTTTTTTGGGTTATTTTTATCTTTTTTTCTTACGCCGTGTTTCCGCAACATCTGACAATATTTTTTTTTTGGGTAACTTGATCACTCTTCTCTTACGCCGTGTTTCCGCAACATCTGACAATATCGTTCCAATCAAGAATATGGTTATTACGGTAAACACAACAAAAACTGGTTTGCTGTTCATTTCTTGAGGGATTCACTGGAATCAATTCCACTAGTCTCCTAGGTCAAATCTTCGCCCGCACAACGCAATTTCCTCAGTCTAAGTCCGCTAGGTTTTTTCTTACCACAATGTACTCTCGATCCCTGTTCGAATATACGTATTGGATACTTGGTAAAGGAGGTGTTCAGCACGGTCGTGCGAACACGAAATTCTTTCTGTGGCAAATTGTTTTCGCTTTAGCGGAACTGTTGTTTATTGATAGGCGTATCCTAATGAGCATCCCGGTTGGCTGTTGCCTAAATCCAAGACAAGAAATTATGGCTTCGTGGCATCTAGCTATGGGAGAACTACTCTTAAGTGGAATTTACCATGAGAGAGACTGACGACTAGCAAATTAGCATTTAATATCCTCTTTGCTCCTACTGTGGTTTTCCATTTTGTTATTACTAACATCTTATACAGTTGATATATCATCTGTTAGCTGTGTGAAGTACCATCCCAGTTGCCTAATGTCTTTAAGATCCTGTCGACCAGTTGACGAGACTATTCCTCCGAAATTCTTTTTCTGATCTGTCCACTCTGTTCTGCTAGCACTCAGACACGAAATTATTTTGTGCTTGGCGAATGGAGATGGAGGTACATTAAATCGGTCTATATCTATTGGTTTACTCGGGGGCGCGATAACTCAGTGGCTGGAGCGCCAGTTTACTAATCAGAAAGTCCGTGGTTCTAACCCGGCATCTGTCTCCCGACTTCCCCTGCCTAGGCTTAGCAGTATCCCAGTCCTTGTGCTTCCTTCAGGTGACATGGCAGTTAGGCACCGAAAGGGTGCTTCAGCTGAATGGTTATTGATTATTATTAGGCGGAAACGATAAAGTGATACACACGCGGGTCGAAGGTCTGGTGGTGCTCCACTTCCAGCTTTTGGAAACTAATACAAGGACTTACCGGAGCCATTGTAGAATTCAGGCGAACATGTTGGTAAAACATCTTACCGCGTGAGGTCCAGAATATAAGTGATCTATTCGCTCATGCATGAACGTTATTAAGTACGGCGAACACAAACATGGCCAGCCAGTTTGGGTCCACACACTCAACAGGATAAGCTATGCAGTCTGTACAAATGGAAGAATATTCACTGTACAACTTCATATCTTATTCTTCCATCTTTTCGTTTGAAGTCGGAACTGGAAGAACTCGCCCTGGGCGGACTGCGTCCTGAGGGTAGCCGTACCCAGGGCCCAACCGAAGATCAACTACTGCAAGACAACTTTGACGCTTCCTACCTCGCACCGGACACCGTAGACGTGCACCTACATCTTGCCAATGCCCAGCTTTGTTTCTACGGCATTCTGCTACGCTTGTTTATCCACCTTAAGGTTAGTTTTTCGTTGTTTACTTGACATGTGTTTTGGTCGCGATTCTGCTGATTGGATGGTCTTAATTTTTACTATTTTCGCCATCACGGCAATGAGTTATTTTCTCTTTTTGGTGATGTTGACACTGATCACCTCATGGTTTTTTCGAAGCATATCCCATCCAAACGAGGTGTCGGACACTTTACGGAAATGGGACATTTGACTGGTGGCTGCTTTTGGCTTCTATGTAACCGAAGAGAAATGGCTTTCCTTGATGTAACAGTACATAGTTTTGAAAATGTGTATTTAACTCCAAAAAAGTAATTGCCTTAGGTAGTGATGACAATTGTCTCAGTTGCAGCTTATTTCATTGGTTGTTGACCCAAAGGGCTTGCTTCCAAGTTTGCTACTCTTCCCCTTGTTTGTTGTAACACAGAACAAACGACGAGTGGATCCCCTTTCAAGTTATTCGTCTTTTAGAGGCCTATAACGTATTTCATGATAACAGCCACACTTCGTTTCCAATATATGCGCTTATGATATTTTGGCAGTATCGCTAATCACGCCTGTGTTTATTCTGGTTTGTTATAGGAAAACTACTTTGGTTACTATCAGACACCGGTGGACTTTAATAAAGACCCAATCAGCGGAGCCGACTACTTGAACTCCACAACATACCCGTCGGACTATGGGATCTCAACTTGGAATGGTCTGTCCGAGGGACAGAAGAGATCCAAAATCCAGCGAATCGTGGATCCAAGGGAACACCGTCCCTTGATGGTCAGACTGTCGCTGGAATTTCACAACATATTGGCACACCTTCCAATGGTAAGTCGGTCTCAGCTGTTCACCTAAATTGTGCTTGTTCGGTACACAGTCCAAATAACTGTTCATGTCCACTTTTGATTCCGTTTTAGCATGTTTCCAGTTTTAGCGCACCGTGTCCCACCGCTTTTCTGGACTGTATCGGTTTCGAAATGGATAAACGTTGGCACGAGACTAAGATTCAGTTGGTTTTCTCCCCCATCCTCCTGTGTGTCTACGACCAATGCAAGGTGGGTGTTTTTCCAATCTGTCATACAGCAGTTGTCGTCAGACAGCTGCTGCTCAAGAACTGCTGTCCATAAATTACCCTCAAATCCTCATTACATGTGATCTTTTTAAGGGGGACGGCGCATCTGACGTGTACCTTATTCTCACTGTGGTGGGTATCATCTCCGCCACAAGAGAGACTGGACCGTACCATGCTGTGACGATTTGTGTGCCACTGAGCTGTACTGAGTGGTGTCCGTGCGACACTCGCAAAGTCTCTCATACCAGGTTGCTAAATGGTTAGCGGTCTGACCAATACAGCCTCCTGGCGTGCCAGGTCGGGGGTTATGGCCTTTGTGGCAACTGTTCCATAAAAATGGCGATGCGCTCACATGTACCGCCAAACACCGCGGTCAGGCTTTTGAGATTTTGAGTCTTTGGTTGAGGATGTTAATCGTCCTGTCTCGATGTGAGCGCTCCGACTGTATCCCAGCCCAAGTACAACCATGACACATACAACTAACAGTCCTCTTATGCCACACCGGCCGTCGCGTGAAGTCACCAGCCGGGTCACCTGACTTGCATTATATAGCAGGGCGGATAATCAAAAACTGGTTATACCGTCTTACACTTTCACGTATTCCCACCAATTCGAATACATTCCGTAGGTGTCAGCACTAGGACTACATCACGCCGAACTACAGCTTCTGTTTGACCGACTTCAGTAAAGACCCCAACCATTTCGAAGTCTGTTTTGAAACAACGGGAGCCGGTCTGCTTAGCTGCCTTCTATGTTCGCGCGCTGAAGCAAGCTGCTCTTGCTCTTACTCTGGATTTCCTTTGTATTGGTGTATTCCGTCAGAAACAAGGAGGAATGCAGAACGCAACTACTTTAATTGGACTGACTGCTTCGTCACTCTCTCCCCGTCTCCGGCTGCACACCTCTGGTGATGCAGAGGCTGCTGCAGCAGGATATGCTGAGGGGTGGATATTGCTTTGAGTGACCGAGCGGAAGCCTCTCTAATTAACTTGGTACCAGATGATAGTCGCCTGTTCGCGGTTGGTTTGGCAACATGTGTGTAAGAATTTCAAGAAAATTAGATCCATCGTACGCTGCTCATTGTGTCCGCTTGCGCTTCAATCGGCTTTAGGTAAGGGCATATTACTGGGTCTCATTGATAACGTGTGTTAGGCTACAATAAAGTCTGTGTCGTTTTTGTATGACCGCATATGATGTGAGACGTCTTGAGATTTTTTACCAGCGGGGCCTCAAGCGTTGGTGGTGTAGAATGGTGCCAACGAATATGTAACGAGGTAATTCGAAAACGGTTATTGGTTTATGCAGCAGGTACTTTAATCGCTGAAATCTTTCAGCACCATCAACTGCGGTGGCTCAGCCATGTGCTACGTAGGTTGAAACACCGTCTCTGGCGGAAACCGTGAGTTGGACAACGTAGGACTTGGCAGAAGGATGTGTGAAAGAGATTACGAAGTTTGGATGTTGTTGGGGCGTCTGACTGCGCTTGACTGGCGGTCATCATCAGGTTCACTCTTTTTTCTTCTATGCATTCAAAGGCTTTAAATATAATTAGATGAATTTTGTGGTTGCAAGGCGGTGAAGCATCAGTGTCATCACTGATGTTGCTGTCTAATGGTGTGTTTCATCTTCTGGGGTGGACCTCATGGAGCCTGTAACCGTCAATCAACGTTGAGTGACTTGATCAAATCGCCGAAGACAGGTAGGATCGCTTTCAAAACTTCAGCTTCTTTTGGACACGGGTTGGGTTCGTAAATGGTGTAAGTAGTCAACTCACGTTAACACATTCAGCGGTTGCGCACTAAGTCGCTCCAGGGTACATAGTCTGTCCCCTTTACTGACTGCATTTTAGGATGCCAGTTAGTAATTTGTATCTTTTAAATAAGTAAGTCATCGGGCACATGAAAAGCACAATAGGTTGAGGTTATTATCTAGAGGAATCGTTCCTATTTGATGTGGATGTTGGTGGCTCACTTGGTGCACGCACTTTACGCCCAATCTAGTGAACCTATTCTTATCCATTTCAGTTAAACCGTTTGCGCGGTGCCTGTTAACACTGGTCCTTGTGATGTTGCAGCCTTTAGCTAGCTTCCAAACATTAATATGACCAATTGGTCACACCTTTACGCACTTGGATGCACTTGTGACCAGCAAACTTTAAGCTTCCTCTATCCATACAATGTGATGATTGGCCGATGCGGTTGGCGTTTCCACCTCCTACTCTAATGCGGTTTTGAAGTCTGATTCCTTTTCTGGCTTTGCCAAGCTGTGACAACAGCACATCAGCGATCGCTGCGGTTACACGGCATGCCGTCTTGTACCTGGGTCGTTGTCATGCCTGTGATCATAAAGTACTAGTTAGCGGATAAATGTTTGTCCTCCGCTTGTGTGCGTCCATTCTATTTGGTGGATACAAGACCTGACTGAACGCATTCCAACAATGTGTGTGTGCGATTCACATTTATGTCAAATTGATCTTGTCTGTTAATTGACACACTGGAGTCAAGGTATTATTAGCACTAGATTTTGGCTCACCCCCTCTTTTCGTTTACAGGCTTCCCGACCAAAATCTTGCAGCTCACTGTCCACAGGCTGTGTCCAGCTCATGGGTCTTTGTTTGCGTGGCCAGGAATGTTTAGTCACCGACCAAAATCTTGCAGCTCACTGTCCACAGGCTGTGTCCAGCTCATGGGTCTTTGTTTGCGTGGCCAAGGAATGTTTAGTCATGCCACTCTACCTCTGAGTGCTGAAACGTTGGAGTACGCGTGGCTTCTCGAACTGATCGTGGGTCGATTCACCGGTCAACTCACCGCCCCACAGTTGACCACAATTGTGCAAGCTTTGAACGGTTTCATGTTCTCCGTAATGGACTCAGAGAATAAACTCGTTTGTTCCAGAGATTTTGAACTTTGTCAGCATGCGCGACCACAAGTAAGGATTGTTGTACGGACTATTCTCCTCATCTGTAGCACCAGTAGACCAACTGCCGAACAGATGCACTAGTTAACATTGACTTCACCTCACCTGATTTGATAGTCGCTTAGTAGTATAGGGTCCTAGTTATTACACTCAGACACATCGAAATCTTTCGTTCCCTCCCACTCAGATGTTCTCTTTTCTTTTTTATTGAAAGGTACTAACTGTTCGAACAAATAAATCCGGCCTCTTGCACGCTATTTCCTGAACCATACTAGAAATGGATTATACTGACGGCTTAAATACGCGGAAGATATCATTGAAGACAATATGGCTCAGTGGTTAAACCACGAATTTACTGACCGGAAGGTCCGTGGTTCGAACCCAACCCCTGCATCTTCACTTCCCCCAATTAGGCTTTGGCAACCTGGCAGTATCCCAGACTTCGTGCGTCCTTCTTTCCTTGAGAAGTCCACAACAATGTTGTTCATCTTTTATCAGTCAGGATGAGAACCCCCTTCGAAAAGACACTGAATAGCCCGTGTCTATATCTTGTCCTGTTTGGGAGAATTTCTGTATCAGTTTTGAGTTGTTACCACTTTTCCTGGAGCTCCATTCACATCAATCTCGTTTGAATTCTCATTCATCCTTCCTTTCGCCGAATTCCTAGTTGATGCTTTACTCGAGGCGCTCATCACTGGTGTCCGTTCATCATATTTGTGTCTGCACTCGGATTCTCCACTATTGCCTTCTGGAGACACGCTTGAATTATCCAGCCTTGTGGAAACAAAAGACGAACACGCACTTGCACTTGAGCTATATGTGTGGTTTGTCTTAAGTCTGTAGCTACGTTCGGGTAACTTTCCAGGTCTAAATATTGTTTCAAAGCATTAGGGCGAGGTGGACCAAGTGGTTAGAGTGTGAATTTACTGACTGGAAGGACCCTGGTTCGAACACGACCTCTGCCTGTCGACTTCCTCTGTCTAGGCTTGGGCAACCTGGCAGTATCCCAGCCCTCGTACCTCGTTCGGGTGGCATGGCAGGTAGGCACCTAAAGGGTGCTACAGCTGAAGGATTCAAAACATGGGAAGTTTGTTGGTCCTCACGACAACTCTGTTTTGTCGGGTAGTCGTGCTTTATGGTCTCCTATTATTAACCGAAAATCTGGTCTCGAAGTCGGCAGTTGGAAACCAATCGACTTTGCTTTTAGATTTCCACTCTGGGCTAAGTAACTGTACCTAACTGGAATTTCCAATCTTCTAAACAACTTAGGTTGGGTTCCTTTTGGTAAACATCCACGACGCATACTGATTCACAGGCAATTCCGATCCACGTAATTTCAACTCGCGACAACGAGGATTGGAACTTGTAGTACGCTGGTCCCTTTCTGTAACAAGTGCTCTCGAAGTCGATAAAAATTGTTCGGCATTTGGTGATTTTACCCGGGGGGGGGGCATAGTGCCGTAGCCCTGTTCTGCATATCCCACTGCTTTCTCTCTCTTCATCTTAATGGTACCATTAAACCTTATGGAAGCAGTGTTTCATCCTGAAAAGCACTCTGTTCCATATTTATTACCACAACGAAGTGTCGTGGAGGTGCTTATCGGATTCTGTATGAAAATCGTCCCGGGGGGGGGGGGTCATAGTGCCGTAGCCCTGTTCTGCATATCCCACTGCTTTCTCTCTCTTCATCTTAATGGTACCATTAAACCTTATGGAAGCAGTGTTTCATCCTGAAAAGCACTCTGTTCCATATTTATTACCACAACGAAGTGTCGTGGAGGTGCTTATCGGATTCTGTATGAAAATCGTGAAAAATTAATATTATCTGGACTGCTCTCAAGTAATGAGATTATGTGACAAAATGTATGGCGATTGGGCTCTTACAGGAAACCATTTCACCATTAGCCCTCGGTCACTAACTTTTGTTTTCCTATCTCCCCTTCTTCCGTCAGTCACTTTGTCCCTTCTGGCCCTCTGTTTCTTCGGACACTCTGTGTCCTGGTGAAACGCTACTCAAATATCGATTTCTTCGTGTTTCACTTGATGGCGTCGATGTGGGTTTTGTGGAGACTGGAAGTTGTCTGAGTCTGCAACTCGACCCTGTTAGACTGACCAATTGCAACATGCACGGAACTGCCAAGTGCAGCGGACTACTGATTATGCTACCTCGGGTGCGTTTGGTGCAGTACATCCGACCGATTGGTGAGTATATACTCAATTGTTACACATCGTTGTGATTTTTTTTCATTCCTGTGGTTTTAGTGGGATCCATGAAAAACAGTCGAGATGCTGGACAATGAGTGTACCTTACTGGGTGATGGAAGCATGCGCCAGGCCTCCTTATCCTTGATTGTCTCGCGTTGAGCATTAACTGGTCGGCAAACCACAGACAAGTCTCCAAGTTGATGGAGGACAGGAAAAAATTGGTTCAGATGCTGCGGTTGGGAACCATCTGACACAAAAATTAGACTGGCAGTGCGATCTTCCCCTATATTGTGACGCTAGATACATTGTATTTCGTGCTCTTACTAACCATACCATTAGATAACGAAGGACGGTTTATCTTTTCAGGGCTTCTCTTCCTCATGTTCGTCTCAATATGCGCCACATTGTCCGCACTTTTTGCTTGCGATTGGTGTCTAATCTCGCACTACTCTCTTGGTTTTTAACGTGATTTGTTTACACTTGGTATGAAGTTTTGCTTATATACAGGTACTTGAAAAGCCTCCTTACCTCTATCATTGGCTTGTGATAGCCTGCACACATGCGTATACAGTGATCGGATGCCTTACGGTTTCATATCATTTGTAACTGCACATCTGAGTTAGCAGTTTCTGACCTGGCAACAATATCTGGTAGGTTGTAATATTTTATTCGTTTGGCCCTTACGGTAGCACATGAACAGCGGACGGAAACACACGCTCCTGTCAGTGTGACTTCGCCGGCCACCGTCATTAGTCCGGCCGATCCACAGTCGTTGTGGTTGGAAGCCGGTTCGCTTGCCTTTGGACCGGTCCACGCAAACGTGTCCAGTGCACCCGAACGTTCCGAACATGCTTTGTGGCAGCTTGCTTTTCTCAAGTGTCACGATGCCGCAACAAAGCGGCTATGGTTCCTTTGGTCAACCAGTGAATCGCGTTTTGGACCCATGAGCTGTGCGGTAAGTTCCGGCTCCACATCGTCCTACACTCCTCCGGCCATCTTTCCAAACTGTGGATGTTTTGGACAGTGCTCCTTCTTCGGTTCGAATGAAAGTGGCCGAGCTTTGTTTACTGAATTATTGACAGGTGATTTCCAGCAGCGTGCAGTCTTTCCGTCGCGAAATGAATACAAGCCTCATCTCTTCGCAACTGGTAAAGCTATAAAGCAGACTGGATCATCTCCTGGACCCAATACTGTGTGAGTCTTTGTGATTTCTATGCTACGCATTTCGGTGTTCAAGTTTGCAATCCAAGCTGAACAATCCTTTCATGACGATGTTCTAACTTGGAGTTGTGTGGTCCCTACATGAGCAAAAGTAACAGTTGATACTATTTCGTGGCTATGGACGACGAATATCGAACCATGTTGTTCTTACTTGTACCCCGAGTAGTATCCGACCGACCTTCTGTAATCAAAATAAACGGAGATCTTGATGAAATGGATAGGTGATGACCTGGGAACACTGACTTGTGGTCACCACTCAAACATGATTCATGCGTTATCGCTTAGGTTTTTTGGGTTGACGGACAACGCACAGATTTACTTGACACATTACACTGGGAATGCTAATGACCATACCTTCCACATTTCCCTAACAATTAATTACCGCAGCCGGCGAGAACTCCTCACGTTGGCGCCAATACAGATTGTACGTAGCTCTGACACATTTGTAGTGTAATACAACTGATAAAATCTGAAAACACCCAACTATCAGGTTTGCTGTTCCTATGGGCAATCACTCACCAGTAGTTCCACAACCGGAGCTGATAAGCAATCCTGATTCTGCGGTACCGGTTCAAGTTGACAATGCACACGAAGGGCAAAACGCCCACTTGGACACCAGCACCTTAGACCTGGGGCTATTAGATATTAGGATTGGTTAACCATTTCTGATTGCAACCGTACATGATCGGCTGATACGTCTAGCTCAACCGGCTATCATCAATTGATTTGATCCACTTCAGTCCTCCTTGCAATAACTTTAGGATTGCTCTTGCTCGAGGTATAAACTGGGCTTACCACTTCGTCTTTTTTCATAAAAACTTAACAACTGTCCGTGACTTGTTCCGTAACCCAACAACCTTGGTGTAATTTGTTTCACTCAGTTTCTTCCCCCTCCTGGCTGAGTATCGTTAACCCTGGTTTTTTTTATAAACGTTTATAGGGCTTTATTTCGCCATGTGTTTCCATACATATTTGCCTCTCCTCCCCACCTCCGGAACATCTTCCCATCTTCTCTTTGAACGCGTCTTCCTGAACTCTCCTGGACACTCATTGGCCGTTGCTCAAATGCAAGCAAATGCGACTCCACAAATTCCGTAATAGATCTCTTTTTTTCGAGAGATGCGAAGAGGATTTAAGAGAAAACAAACTGTTCGCATGCCCCATCAGTAGTATCCACCGTTACACCGGTAGATATGTATACACGTATATGATACGTGATACCCTGAAGTGATATAGTGACGTCATAACACTCCGTTAGAACACCTTTATGGTATCCCATAAAACGTTCGCCTTTGTGTTTTCCCAGAGCAAGCTTCTGCTGTGCCGACAGGTCACCAACACATTGGCGGTTTGCAAAACCAGATAATAACATGCTGCAGGTTATAAGACACACTCTGAGCGCAAGCTCGTCAACACAAAACAATCACGGCCTGCATATATGATTTGTGGTCTGTCTGAAGCGTTTTAATCTAAACTTTAATGCTCCAAAACACAAGACGAGCACGCTCACTCGTTTCGTCTTGATAATATGTGATGACAGACCTCAGAGGTTGACCAAGGGTATTCCTTGTAGGATTGATGACTACCGCATGAAGATTTTATCATTTTTGAGTTGGGTCAAAGCGCATCGCTCCTATGCCTTCTCAATTCCATTGATGTTTCTTACACTCAGCCGATATCACCTGAGGGTTAAGACCATAGTAAGTCTCTTCTGGAGAAAGTATCGATAGACCAGGCGAAAGCGGTTTGTTATGAAGAGTGGCTTCTGCTGAGAGCTATCTGCCCAAAAAAGGCAACTTTAGTATCTATGCTGTTTAAAGCTGTGTTAATTCTCCATTACTCTATTGAGCATTTGATACTGAGGTGCATGGTGTGTCTTCATGAACTAGTATTCCGGCTTCGTGATCCTCGATACTACGGCCATCGTAGCTTGAGCGTTCACACTCTGAGGAGAAAGAATTTCAAAATAGATTGCTTTTATTTAGTTGGTTTCATCTCATTTTGTCGTCTGTAAATCACATGTGGCGCATACGTAGGTTCCGTTGGACACCTATAAACGGAAGGTCAGGGAAACACGGTCAAACATCGGAGGCGATTGTCCAAACATTTCACTGGTGTTGAAGCATTCCGTTTGCCTTATGAAATGCATGATATTCTTTCGAAGCATTAAGGGCGATGGCTTTGATGAAGGAACACCACTGACTGCATGACTGGCCCACGTCTGTCATTGTCACTGATGAGTCGGGTCGCGGAGTCACGATCCAGGGAGATGGCAGTTTTCAGTGTGACGGGGTTTACTGGTTAGCGCATTCATGCTTTGTTACCATGGAGAGTTGGCTCCTTAGTCGTCCTTTCTCAGCGCAGGGCTGAGAGAAAGAACCCCGTGAGGTAGACATTCAGCTGACGTCCCCAAACCAGTCCAACTTATGAAGCTTGAGTAGCTTGTCTATGGCGGGCATCTGGCGCACCTCTGTGTTGCCACTCCGAGCCAATGTTTCGGATACACCGATAGTGAAACACCGGAAGTTTTCATATATTTCCTGCGCGTAGTGACCGCACTGTTTACACACAAAGCAGTGTGTATGTTCTGCTGTTGTCGGACAAACTGACCCTGGATGTGACTGTCCTGATGTAGAAACTAGTTCCGTCCTGGGTAACTCATAGAACCACCCAGGGAAATAAGTTTATCTACCGCGTCGATGGTCTCCAAGTACGGTGTTGTAGTGTCCGAGCCGTGCGGGAGCATTAACCAGATTATTTCAAATGAGTTGCATCTTTAAAGAATCTCAACTAGGCAAAGTATTATTGTGTACTCAGTGTCCGTGGAAGCGTTTTGTCCCTTGAGATTCTCGAGGCAAGCAGTATCCCTTTGAAGACACAATCAGTCCTGGAGGTGGTCTTTCCAGGGACCAAGAGAAACAGCTTGTAGATGCTCAATGAAGGTGATCTCTTTGTATACTTGGTCTCTTCTAGCAATGACTCAACCATTAATTCACTAGAGGTCAAACCAAACATGTCTTATCTGGAAAGAAATCACCTGATTTTCCAATATCTGTATTCCTCACCCCGAATTTATATACCCAGAGGAATGCTTCGGCTTGCATAGCGTTCTCATAATGCTGTCTGAATAGTAAACGCGCTTTTCTACTTTACTTTTGTTTGTCATAATTACTTGTTAGTTTGGAGCCTAACCAGTAGTCTCTTATCTCTCGCCCAACGATTTGATGAAGGTTTCCACCCATCATGTATTCTACCGCTGAGGACAATTCACCGAAGTCAGCACTGCCTGCGACTCACTTTGGTGAGAGCCTTCTGGTGGCACATCGGCTTTTGCATGAGCTTCACAACCCTTCATTCTGCCACGAACGCTCCAATGGTTTATTACTCATGCGCGGAGAAGTTTTAGCAACATGTGATTCTACCAAATGCGCTGATGAAGTAAGTTCGCTGAAATGAGCATAAATCTACTCAGTTGTTTTCCTTCGTCTCCATGAATGTTCCTAATCAGGGTCATCTTTGAACATCAGCCAATTACGGGGCTTTCGAATACCTCGATCCAATATTGGTTCTGGCGGTTGTGCACCATAGACAACCCCCAGATCCAGTCTTTCATCGTCACACATGAAGGCGTCAATCCAGACAGTGGTATAGATGTGGTTAACCGAAGTGTGACCTTCGACCCTTGGTTTGGCATTCAGCATACGAACGTCCTTTAGTGATCTAGTCAGTGTGTCACAGTGTTCGGTTTTTCAAAGGGCGCCTGCTTGGTCAATCGGGTCCATCTCTGCTGCCACCGGATTTGTCTATTCGTGGGTGTAGACAGGCTTCTCGGTATTTGGTTAGCTCCATCAAAAGCATCTTTTCTGGCGTTATCCGGTCGGTTTGGCTGTTGAGTTGTGTTTCGATCCTTGGGGGCACGGGGTGGAGACCAATTAATGAGCAGCCCAAAAGTGAAACTACCGATTAGGAGTAACAAGTTTGTTCTCTCTACTGGCTGTATCCAATCAGACTGGCCGGAATCTCAAACAAATCCAGCCAAAAACATGAAGACTAGTTGTTGTGTAGGCGTATACTCCAATAATGCGCAATGATGGCAATAAAAGACACTTTTTGCGTACTCCAATAATGCGCAATGATGGCAATAACTTTTTGCTGGAAAGATTCCAGACAGGCGGGCTAGGTGCATGGATGATTGACCATTTAGCTACTCTAGTGGCAGACACCGATAGACATGAAATCCTTCTGAACAAAAAATGGTATGTGGGTACTCCAGTGACCCCTACTACAATGATCGCTTCATACAGCTGCTCGCCTACGTACATCCCTATCACCTACTCGGTAGAAACCCCCAGAGCGAGCGAAGCCTGTCTGAATAGGTTAGTGCGCAAGCTAATGGAATAATGTGAGGAGTCACAAATCCATCATGTCGTACTAGTAGCCGGTTCCAAGGGTAGCTTTTTATAGCTATTCAGAATGATGCGAAGAATCTAGGCATCAGCTTGTACGATACAGCGCCGACCTCGCACAACTTTGATTGGTTCGAAATCCCATACAGCCTGTCGACCCGTTTGTAGAGCCACACATTTGCTTTTGTCCTTTGCCGTTGCGCGACATTTCCGCACGACAAGTCAGTGAATAGGACTCCCTTAGACGATTCTGATGCATTTGAAAGTTTGGGAACGTACCGTCCGTGTCGGAAACGAATCATGTAGACTACTGACTGATAGAAAAATCTATTTATCCCCTCTTTCTTTTGCCACTGTTTTGTCCAACAAAGGATGAATGTTGCAACAGCAGCGATCCATCGGACGAGGATTTCTCTACCAGTGAATCCAGCAACCAACCCTCTCGCACCAGTTCTCCGGATCATCGCACTGCTGATGCGAAAGTCCGGTCGGGATACATTCGTGCTCGAAAGCGTTATCATTTGGCCAGTGGAAGAATGAAACGTGACAAGAATTTTTCGGGGTCTCTTTCTGAGCCCTCGTCAATGTCCGAATTGCTGGTACCTCCGGATTCGCCAGATGAAGATGATGACTTGGTCGCAGGTGTGCATCACACTTCAGCAGGTTAGCGGATTATATCATAGTTTAGATGCATAATCCCGAGGAACTACAGTAACATCCCTCTCAAACGGCTAGGGCTGAGACCGGTTTTTTCATGCGTTGGACATAGGAGATGTTGTAGTATGCTTTCTGTTCATAACTGTAGTGGAACAGTGGGTTGAAGTGATGTAGAGCGAACTGGACGTACTTTGCAAAAACCATTGTTTCCTGGACACTTCCTCGAATTTCAGTGTCGCTTTTGGATTGGAGTGAAATCATATTTAAGCGCACTGTGAAAACGCGGAACGGATATGATTGAAGGTGAATTTGTAATTGGCTGTGTTAGCCTAAACTATGTACAAAAACGTGGTGTTATAAGTAGCCAGACATACGGTGCATTCTGGAACGTGGTATCCGATGCATCGGTGTTGTCACATTCCTTCGCCATAACGTGCACATTATGACCGTTGGCCTTGACAAAAATTCATAGTCTTTTGTGCTCGGTGCACGTTTTTGCAGCTGGCGTCAATTAGGTGAATTATGCTGCGCTATCCAATTTGGTCTCTATTCCGGAACATATTCTGGATTCGATTGATTGAAATGAATAACCAGGCCACCTAATCACTCCTTTAGTGAAAATATTGTTTCCTTGAAGGATGGGAATGAAATTTTGTACGTATGATCGTTTCATGATACCAATGAAATCGCCGACCTCTCCTGCTTATCCTCATCTCAAATTCTGCAACACCAGACCGTCGTTTTTCAATTCCCTTCTCAAAGTTTGCATATCGTCCCGCTTTATTTCATGTGTTGCGTATGCAGTAGGTGCGGTTGTTGCAGAAACCCAAATGGGACCAGGCTTGGGCAATCGTTTGCCCTCGGGTCTATCTTTGAACAGCCTAATTGGTCCGCTGACACCATCCGAAACGCCGTCGCATTCGTCTCAGCTGGCGCTGGATGAACTCAGTTTCCCTGAGATCGCAGGTACCCGACCGACACCCCCTCCAAGGCGGTTTACTAAACCTGGAGGTGAGCGTGACAGTGATATACTCAGACCTCCGCTCTTGGGACCCGCAGACTCTCCAAAGATGGATAACGTCGAAGAGAAAACGTTCGAAGAAGATGCATTTGAGAAGTTTGTTGGTAGGTTTTTATTAGGCGTGTTTTAATTTTCTCCGTTCATTTTGTCCCAGTCTGCGTTGAGTTACGATATCACGAATGTGATATGCCGCGAAGTGGTTGCCATGAGGAATCCTGGACGTGTGTTAACATATTAGTCTTTCCATGTGGGTATTGAGATGCAATTTATAGCCAGCACTGCGACAATTGAATGTGAGGATTTCATGTTACCTCTGTCTACGTAGGTCGTCCAACTTGACAGATAAAGCTAAACTGTCGAACCACATTATTCTCACTTCTCAGTGAGTTCGATCACTCAGATTCTGTCTTTGATATTCCACATTTCTTGATGTAACCCTGCTCACATGGTTGATTGGAACGTCTCGATAGCGGAATTCTGATTTCACCCCTCTCGGATTCCCTGTCTGAGCCTTGACTGACCATAGCAAGCAATGTGGTGTTCGGCCAAGTCAGTGATCTAGGCACAGTGTACTCACTATAATTGCATCGGGGCGACGATAGATACTTAAACAGACCGAATTGCCTATCGATACACCATTCGATTAGTATTTTCTCCAAACCAAGGTGCTCCACGAGCGCGACCCGAAGCTCTCTCTCTCAGAGACATGCGCAGGCCCCTAACCAACCAATTAGTAGGACACACAGATGCGGATAGGTTACCCCATGTTCGGTGATCCTAGTCCACAAGACTATTTGGCGGGAGAGACAGATTCATGAGAGTCAAACTGGGTTTCGCCCTCGTCGAGGATGCATCGACCATATCTTTAACTTGAGACAAATTCTTGAACAGCACCACTCCCTCAGACGTCCACGTTGATCGTTTTTCTGGATTTGAGGACTGCTTTTGATTCTGTTGATCGTCAGCAACTTTGACAGTGTCTGGCAATCAAAGGTGTCCCTTCCAAATTTCTCTGTATGCGAACTCCTGTAGGCACGTACGACTATACGAGGAGCTCTCACCTGAGTTCACTACGTCCAGTGGTGTAAGACAACTTCCCCATTGCCGCCTCAACTTTGTCATTGATATACTGCCTGAAATTTCTCTGCCTGCCCCTGAGACCTCGGGAGTCGAAACGCTTTCGGGACGTTCCCTCACAGACATTGAGTATGTAGACAGTATCGCTCTCCTTGGTTCAGATCCTTTCCAAATGCAAGCGGTTTCAAACAACCTAAGTAACTCTGCCGCACGGTTTGGCATGCGCTTCACACCTGCAAAGTGTGAAGTGCTACTACAAGCCTGGGTGGGATAAAACCCACACCTCATGCTTGCGGGTGAGCCAATCGACGTGGTAGACAAATTGGTTTACCTGGATAACTTTATAAGTCCTGGTGTACAAGCTGGAGATGGGATTATTTTTCGAATCGGAAAGCCCAGAGCAGCTTTTACCAACCTCCGACACCTATAGCGCTGAGGTGACGTGAGTTTGTCTGTCAAGGGAAGAGTTTACACCACGGTGATGTGGATCAGAGACGTGGCCCCTACGCTCACAGGACATACGGAAAATGTCAGTGTTCGATCGTCGGTGTCTCCGAATCAAAGGTGTCCCTTCCAAATTTCTCTGTATGCGAACTCCTGTAGGCACGTACGACTATACGAGGAGCTCTCACCTGAGTTCACTACGTCCAGTGGTGTAAGACAAGACTGTCCTCTTCCCCATTTCCTCCTCAACTTTGTCATTGATATACTGCTTGAAATTTCTCTTTTCACCCAGCCCTGTGCTGAGTGGAACCGACCGAGAGGTGGACGGTGTATGACCTGGCAACGAAGTACGAAAACACTAACTTAGTGGAGTGGGCAACTGCCGCCTCCCTGATGTGGACCCCGAGACTCAAACACCAGTGGTTATAGTCATAAGCGGAAATGGCCCAATCGCGCAGTCAGTGGCACTCATGCATCAAAGCTATCGCCTTCAATGCGTAGCTACCCAATTTCCGAACAAGTTGATTGTGCCTTCGTCTCCAACGGTTGGTTGTATGTTCCACTTCCCCGTTCTCCGGTGATCGAAACTGTGACAGCTGCAACCAATGTGCCTATGGCACGGTTTATGGCTGATAAATTGAATAAACTTGAATAGACTGATTGGCTCTGTTTCTATCTACTTGAACGTGAGAGTAGTGACCAACAGCTAGTAGTTATCTAGTCTGGATCTCTCTGAGCTTCTTTGTTGTGAATCCGGAGCTTGGCAGCAATCGAATCGCTTTGTATAAAAAGTGTCCCTTATTGTGAGCTTTTGTCCCATGGATTATCAGCGTTAGTTGTATTATGTTTCCGTCTTCTCGTGGGTTTTCTGCCTTAAGGTATTATTCCAACATAGCACGTCACTGTCTCACCGACTGCATCTCCGTACAGTAAACGACATCTCCCAGACACATTCGTTCATGTAATTAGAGCGGTTCATGTTACTTCATTCTCATTTTACCAACACAGATTTGCGTGGACAGTTGAACAGACCGATTACAGAGAGCGGTCTTCTACGTGCAGCCTACAGTCATCACTTGAACGTGTACCGTTGTATAACTGCCTGGGCAAAGCCGGTTCGTTTGAGTCGGCGCTGGCACCTCTGTAAACACACGTATCAGAGCGTGGAGTCTTTAAAAGATTGCCTGAATCCTCCCAACGCGGAGTTGGACAAACTGACAAACCTCCATCCTTGGGAATATCGTCTGGGATCGGCTTTAGCACCGCGCTTTCAGATAGTTCAATCTGGCTTCTCTCCTCAACTCATATTGAGTCGGGCCTCTGGGAAGACGTCGTCTTCTGCTACAAAGTCTGCTACAGTGGATCCGCAGGCAAAAGGTACCCCGTGTTTTTAACAACTTGGGTAGTATGAACGGTAATTCCTTGCTTGCGCTTGTCATCTGCAATTGATTACCGTAGTCTCACTTATCGTATCTCAATTTATGTTGCAGGTGATGTGTATCTTGCCCATGTTTCATCGAATTCGGACGCTGTCGTGTGGCTTCAGAACACAGTGGATTTTCTTGTATCTCCGTTGTTCACAGAGGCGATGGAAAGGTAACGTTTATTCGATGTCCTGATAGATGTACTCACCCACTGCATGGCTGTGTTACTTAGTGCTTTTTACGTCCGCTAGTCTCCTATTCCTTTTTTACCTTTGATACTTCCGTGGGTTCGATAATATCGGCAACTGGATGAGTGGATACGAACGAGTATGATTCAAACTAATAGCTCATTTGCACCAAGAAAGAATCGGTTTCACCGTCTTTTCGAAGGCGTTGCTGGATGTTTGGTAACATAGCAGCTGAATGAAGCGGTGAATTTCAACACGTGTATAGTTGACTTATTAGTGGCCACAATCACAGTTGACGATTCAGGAACTCATGACAGTCAAATCAAGCATATGTAATTGAAAATCGATCAGGAATAAACTTTCAAAGGTCTGTCGTAAACGATCACTGTAATGCAAGCATAGTGCACTCAAGTCTGGCTTATTCGGTAGTTCTCATAATTAACAGTTCACAGCTATCATGTTGAACTTTAGCTAATGAGTATAGGAACTAATTTGTAGGACGTAACTTACATTTAACTCGGTACTCTTCTCCTAGCTTCCCGTGAGCACCAAATGTATCCACCCGAACAGTTTGACTACTTTTCATTGAGAGTACTGTCTAAGTCCCAATGTAAAGTGTTTATCAAACGAACAGATATCCTGTACAGTCATTTACTGTACACCAACTTTTTTGAATAGACACACCGCTATTCAATCGTCTTTCAGAACTCAATGCGTTATTGCTGTTGTTGATTTTGTTGTCGGCACTATTGTGCTTACTGTCCTGTTCCTCGCAACTCTGTGCAAATTGTTTGCAAGCGCCCGTCCTGGTAAGATTTTTGGAACGGACTACTCACAAGTAGTTCAATCTAAAAGTGCTTTCCAATCGCCTGACGCTTGCCGCGAGCATAACCCCTTAAGTAGTTCTCGTGTTCGAATCCTGGAATCTACTGGTTCAGTTGCTTTTTTAACAATGATGGTTACTTCCACGCGAATGATGAACGCTTACTCACGTTATTCCTATCCTCCAGAATACAAGCTTCTGGCCCAACGCTGCAGTCCACTAAACATCCACTATTGTTCGTTTTTCGTTCTAGGTACCTCAACGTCTTGTCACCCGTTCTGTCTAATACACCTCCGTCTGCTGTCATCGATGGAATGCACAATAATTGTGTGAAGGTGAAACTAGCGGCCTTCAAGCATGTCAGTCAGTCTCATAGCCGCTCAGACAGAAACGCTGAAAGCAAACATGCCTCGCCCAACAAGTTAAATGCATTCCTAAGCAATGAATCACATGAGCTCTTTGGGGATGTAAACGTGGGGCCTTCCAGTCCTTATTGGCACTCTTCCATCTTCAATCTTAGTCCACAGCGAAGAATGACGGTTGACAACACGTTGTCGCGGAGACAGGGTCAGTTTTCGATTATTGGTTTAAAAGTCCCATATCATCCACAGAACACAGCATGAACTACTTTCTGACGTGACTGTGCGTAATTTTGTATACTTATTGTAGTAATCGTTCAGCTGTAACACCCATTCGGTGCATATCTGCCATGCTACTCCAAGGAAGCACGAGGTCTGGGGTACTGCGCAAGCCTGGACAAGACCAGTTGAGGTGCCGGGATTGATATCGAATCACGAACAGTCTAGTCAGTAGATTAGCGTCCTAACCACTTAGCTTATAGTCCCATGTAAGTCGAAAACTCCTATTCGGAACAGATCTGCGCACCACTCACATAATCTACACTTTTCTGTAAACCGAATAAGATATGATGCGGTATGTCGGCACTCATCTAATCATAACCCCAATAGAATGGCCCCACTCTTGATGCACAGTCGTGCGCCTGGTATTTTGTAGGCGACGAAATCGCCATGAACCTACAAACCATTCAGTGTCTTTTTGAATCGGCGGTCCATTCACACAGCCCTTAAGCAGGATGGTGTTTTTCGAGCGAACGCCAGTGTTGCGCAGTATGATCCACGTTAGTTTCATCCGTCCGATGCGAACCTGCTGGCTTCCGTTCATCCTCTCTGGTAATTTTCCACTAGTCACGGATCTGTGCCAATCGCCTATCTTTTCTTGACCAGTTTGGGCGTCGGTTTGTCTTCCAGTATGCCTCCTGAGAATCACTTGACCTCCACATGGTAGTGACTTGAAAAACGTCTGAGCTACAATCTTTTGTCATTCGTTTCTCAAGTCTGCGCTTTTCAGGTTATTGCACTCCAAACGCGGTTCTATTTGGTTAATTTCCGCATGAATAGCTCGTACCGTTCCTGGTCAAATTTACCAAGCAATCAGACTCGATCTCAAGCAAGCAGTTAGACTCGATCTCAGTTGGTCGTTACCATTGTCCTTCGGCGAGATGGCTGAACTGGTTAGAGCGCGAATTTACTGACCGGAGGGTCCTTGGTTCCAACCCTACCCTACCCTTGCCTTCGACTTCCCCTGTCAAGGCTTGGGCAACCTGGCAGTATCCCAGCCCTCGTGCTTCCTTCGGGTGGCACGGCAGATAGGCGCCGAAAGGGTGTTACGGTGGAACGATTTTTCCTTTATTATCCTTCGCTGCTCGATTTCAATGCGTCCAGATGGGTGAAAATTTTCCTAGAAAGTCTTCAGTATGTGTACATAGAAGGGGTCACTACATTTTTTCTTAACTCTTGATCAAATCGGTGAACATCGTGAAAATACGTTCTATCATTTTTTTTATCTGCGTTTCCTCTCTCTGGATAGACCACACCATAATAGCTCCTGCCCAAACGGGTTTCTTCTGCGACGTTACAAGGGGAGCAACTTTGTGATTTTCATGCTTCGATTGGTGTTGTTGTCTTCTTTCAGAAGGTTATTCGTTATAGTTTGCCTCTATTGTTTCTTCCGCAACACTCGTCAGATCTCATAAGTACTTGAGTGATGCCTTCTATCAGGAAGTTCAGTTCCTGAAGTAATGCCAGAATGCCTGAAACCTACTAAGATCTTCAAACCCCATCAGAATCGCAGTGGGAAAGCGGCCAAGCATCCAGACCAGAAAAGCCAGCTTCTGATTGGACGCTCAAGCAGTCAATCAGTTCAGCAATGGCCGACTATGATGGGTGTTGAAGCATTTCACAGAACCGCGGCTGACAATGATGAGTGTTCACCCAACGCCGATTGGGCAGCCTGAATCAAGATCAAAAGTGCACCTTAAAGAACGCGATGTCCCACGTAACTTTTGCACTCGCTTGTTCGCAATAAAGCTATTGTGGTTTTTGATGACGAGTTTTTTCGACTTTAAGACACCGGTGCGGGGACACTTAGTCACAATAGTTTCATTTGATACATTTGTCTGTTTTTACTCTGCGTGATCAGCGGCTGTCGCAATTCTTTGGGGATTCTTGCCACACAGACTTCCCCCTCTAATATCGTCCTAATTTTCCATTCATCTGCGTTTTGTGCAGAAACGTCTGACATTCGTACCGAAACAGGTTTGTGTGATACAGATGTGTCACAGCCTCATCGAAAAGCTTCCACCTTGGAAGACCTTCACTGTATGTCGGCAACCGACTCAGAAGGCCCGAGCAAAGATCAAACGGACTCTCAACACCACGATCGTCGCTTCTCCGTACCAACACGGACTGATCGCCGTATTCGTGGAGACACCATAGTCTCGGGAAAGTTGGCTGCCCTCTCAGTCGAGCGAATCAATTTTTGTTTCCTGCAACTCTATGCGGTCGAAGACTTGGTCCATCTGGACAGTTTGCGATCCGGGCTTCATGATTTGACATGTGTTTCTCTGTTGGCGTTATGCGTTGATTCCGTTTCGTTTGAGGTAAGTTTTTGTGCTCATGTCCCTCAACGAAGCTGGTAGCTAGCCACTCGTTGATGTTCACCACCACCGGTCGCACGGGTATCCTCTTGAGTAGTAGTAGTACGTAAACGTTTTGAAAGCTAATTTTCAACCTGGTTGAGCACATTAGAAGCCACCCAGATCTGAGCTATCGATATTCGGACTGCAAGCATTCGGCTCATATTCGATCCCATGTGGTCTTACAATAACCTTTTACACTGTGGGCGTTAAGTACATACGGAACCACCCAGCTTACATATTTTGGTAATGAAAATGGTTTGTAGTTCTGAGAATCTGATTCCTGGAAGCGCAATATCCCCGGCCTATTGTGTGTCCTTGATCAGATGTTCTATGAGCATTTCTATCCCTCAGAGCAGGGATAGGACATCATATCAACGGTAAAGTCGGGGAAGGTACGGTTGCACGAGGTAGTCTCACCTGAATGCAGTTGACATGGTGTGATGCTTGTTGCCCGATTCATTATCGAATACGAGTAATTTAGAAAAGTTACTCTGAATTTACTATACCATCGCTTAGTGGCATGACGCGAGCTACTTGATCCGCATGCTGCTCTATGCAGTACGTAACCTTATGGGACTGGCTGTAAGATTAAGCAGTTTCTTGGTCGTGTTTAATAATACAGCTTTATCCCCAATATGACTCGTAATATGACTCGCTGGATGCATTTCCGGGGAGGAGGGCACCTCATGTTTCCAGACTGCTTCTCTTGAGTCCACACGGTTTGTTTGAACCCCGAGGAATGAATTAGCGCAGCCTTAAATTCCGAAGATAACTATCGGCCAACCAATTGCAAAGAAGTCGCGCTGGTTGCTTGCTTACGACTTGTTACTGGGGTTTCGTCTACTGTTGACTTGGCCGAAATATTCTTTGTCCGATCTAGTCAGCTGGAGGCGGAGTGCAGCTGCCACAGCTTCACTCGCCTTCTTCTCGTCTGGACAGATTATCTAAACTGACTGACTGAGAAGAGCGGGAACAAATGGAATCTGGTAAGCCCCATCCGTCGAAGACAGCGCCTATACTTCAGTTCCTCATTCCATGCAGTTGGTTCATTGCCGTAATTTTTAAGGTGCCGTCAACTACTTGTAGGCAATTCCAGCTCACAGGCGTTCTCGTGAAACGGTCAGCTCGAATAAATTGAATACGAGTGTATTGGGCGCCCGCATGACAGACAAGTGCTTTATGGGCAGGTTTAATGCTAAATGCAACGTACCGTGTCAAGTGTTTATTGGTGTGTCAATATCCACTAACTTTTAGCGTCTTTTGACAGTGTATGTATTGGCTTTCCACTCGCCGGGACTTCCAGAGCCCATTTGTCACACAGATCATTGGTTGACACGAAAGAAATGTTGACTTTTTCAAATAAATTCTAGCTTGAATTTATTTCCTCTGTTCTTTGAAGCTCATCGCAATTTGTTTACCAAGGAAAATCTGGCTGAGAGAGGGACAAGTGAAGTACCACTGATGACCACCAAACCTGCCTTTCTCTACAGAACTTGCACTAAATATGGCACAAATTAAATCACACAAGTGGGCGAGATGGCCCAAGTGGTTAGAGCGCGAATTTACTGACCGGAAGGTCCGTGGTTCGAACCCGGCTTCCGCCACTCGACTTCCCCTGTCTAGGCTTGGGCAACCTGGCAGTATCCCAGCCCTCGTGCTTCCTTCGGGTAGCATGGCAGTTAGGCACCGGAAGGATGCTACAGCTGAACGATTTTTCTTATGGTCGCCCAACTCATTGGAGTCAAACTTTCGATTCTTCGAAAAAATAACAATAAAATTTTGGGTCAGGTCATTGAAGTAGGATATCACGCTTAATGGAAACCGTGTACTCCAGGAATTTCATTTTAACCCATACAGTATCTGCTACTCTGTCCGATTTTGTCCGTCCTTCACCGATCCTTCAGCATCCGCGTAGCAACCGAACTACTTCATTTTTCTTGGCTGTGTGTAATTCCTGACCATACCGAATTCACTGTCGAGATACTCTCATTCTCCTCTACGTAACAGTTGATGAATTGCTGCAGGACCGAAGCGGCCGCATCTCGCATGGTTCAGCTTGAACCATGTGTAGCTCAATCTGATATGTCTTCAGAAGGCTCGGAACTCTGCAACCAACCGCTGTTGAAACCATCGCAGGAAACTGGTCGATCAGTGGCTTTGGAGCCTCACAAGCGCACTGAACGTTTTCGGCGTATACAACCGTCAACAGTGGATGGACAAAGCACACACGCCTCTGACCGCATGGTCAGCTGTCCGTCACTTCAAGAACTAGATGAGGTTGGTTCCAGTCTTGATGCGCCACCATCTTTTGTGCGGAATCGTCTCAACCAACACTCCCGACAACCGTCGGCCCCACCCATTCTGAATAGTTTTAATTCTCCTTTGATCAGCGTCCCACAGCCCGCTTCGATCAACAGTAACTCTCTTAAGACAAGAACACATGAAGCGCGGGATGAAATTCTACTTCGACGTAATCCCGTTCAACCTGGTGCTCGTTTCTTTCCCCACGTCATCACAGGTGATGAATCGCGCACAGTTCCCAGTGAGTGACCAACTTTTGAGAGCATTATCCGCATCTGATAAGTTTCGACTTTACCAGAAGTTGTTATTTGATTCCCTAATTCCTACCCGGCTCATTTTGTTCCCTCAGACAGTTTTATGCACCTTGTACACAGGCATTGGTGATAAAAGCTGGTCTTCTCGAATTGGGTATTGAATGCTAATGACCTAGTGGTACTTTACGGGTGCGCAAGTTGGATGGTTGAATAGTATACTGAAAGTAATTACAATGATGTTTGAGGAACACTCTATGCGCCTGTGTGCCATGCCCGGCAACTACCAACACTACTCTCCTTAGCCTTCTGGTTGTGACACGGCGAAAATCGTACTCATTCGCTGTTCAGGGCAAGAGATCAATGCATTGTACACAGATAAGTGAGTATACGTATCGGAACCCAGGTTCCCTGTGGCCATCTTTTGTTGGAAAGAGACAGAACCATGGTTTCATGGTTCCTGTACTCTGATAACCCACTAAACTTTACTGGGGTATGAGTCTCCGTATGACAAACTGTCTCATACCCGGTTGGGCGTATCCTGGAGGTCCTCCGAGCTAGAGGTTAGAACATGCATCGCGGCTTCCTCCCTAAGGACTTGGATATCCTGGCGTTTTCCCATTATCAAACTTGCGTTTGCCGCAGATTTAATAGAACATTGTTGCCATAGCAATCTACGATGAAAGTTACTTTACGTTGTTTCTGGTGGCCAATGGCAACAGGTGAAAGGCTAAAATCTCCCTAATCATTCCTGGTGACAGGAATCAAAGGAGCCTGATGCTTCAGGCTCCTTTGATCTTTCGACTCCACTGAGCGTCAATCCACCGCCATCTTAATGATTTTACCGGGTTGCATTTCTCCAGGAGATTCTGGGGGAAACGAGTAACTACGTTCTCCTTCGTTCTCTGTCTCTCCTTCAACTGCTCTTAGATTGTCCAACATCTTTATGGAAATTGGCTTAACGGTATTGCAAGTTTAGAGCCTCCTTCCAAAACAACTTATGACCTACGAATTCCATGCAACAAACAATTTGGTCTATTTCTGTATGAGTCATTTCTTGTTCTTTTGTTTCAACTCGGTTTACATCTAGCCTTGGACGTAGCCGCAGGTCTATCTGACAATTCGAACTGTATACGTGGTTCTGAAATCGTTTGCCAGCTGACGATTCGTCGCATACACGGACAGTTACGCCGTCTGACTCGACTCAGCCAGTTCAATGCCGGCGTACTGTTGACCGCCATCCCGTTCGAATCGTCCAGAACGTTTTTCGTATTTGAATCAGATGAGGAATTTCACAGTAGCCTAATCCGTGCAGCCGGCACACCACGAGCATCCGTAGTGTTGAATGAACAAAGCACTGGTTGGATCATGTTCGAGTGTGGGCTGGAAAACCTCTCGCTTGCTTGTAATCGTCGGGACGGCTATGGTGATCTTTCCACGGACCCAAAAGTTGAACAACAGCAACAGCAGACGACTGTATTGTCTTCGGGTGAAAAGAACCTATCCCCAGTGAAGCCAGTTGGTAAAGCTGCTACCAAAGTCCCTCCCACAGCGGAAGCAATGCTTACCAGGAATACATCAGGACGACAGTCTGGACGAAAAAGGGTGTCGGTGCAGGTACTTTGCTTCAATTTCCGCTCGTTTCAGCGGAACCATAGAAAACCGTGTAGTCCACTGAATGTATTACCACTGTTGGCTGTTATACGATCACAAATGACCCTGATGAAGAGTTTCGTTGTTGGCCCTAATCTTCCACTGTGATGCCAAGTTCCAATAGACTGAATTCATTCGGACCTGAGAAGTTTTAGTGAAACTGAGAACCCGCAATATGGCAATCAGAGACCGACCTGTGTGCGATGGGGCTATCTGTGTACCTCTACATTCTACTGTTTGGGATAGGACAGTCCACATCAGCTCCCTACCATTTTCATTTCATTAGACCCAGTCCAATACTGACTTGCGGGTGTCGGTTGAATTGTCCTCTTAGATTTGTTGCGTCACACGCCGGTACGCCACGTATCAACGCATCGAGAATACCACATCGATTGGTGGTAAAACGCGTGCAACACACACCAAGAATAGTAAACAGCAAACGACCTGACCTATCAGTATTTTCTTCCGTGTGGTTAAATCTGTAAACTGAGAATGGCTTGGGTGTAGCGTCCTCATGACAGTAACCTACATCTCCTCATTTGCACTTTTACCATCGGTGTTTATGAACTTTGGTCATCATTTCTGGTGTGTTTAGTTCTGGTCCAAAACTGACTGAGGACAGATCATCCGTCATGTGATTTATCGTCTGTGGGGATCTGGCATTTCAAGTCAATTTAGTGACGAAAATTGATTGGTACACCGTTTCAAACCGCTTCCAATGGATCAGCAAGGCGATTTACATGGGCGACTGTTGTGAATTTTCAGGCTGTGTTAAGTGTGGGCTTAAGATATTGCCCTGCATCGGTCGTAAATTGCATCGCCCCATATTCGGTGCCGAGTCAAACTCTACCCTCCACTAGTGTAGTCTGTTGGTTTCCATTCTGAATGTGTTCGTGGCTCCGTCCACAGAGGTTGTCAATCTAAGATAAAACATGTAGATGCTCAAACCACCTTTTAGTCCAAAACCAGACGCTTGGCGCTTTACATTTAGTCCTAGCCTCATGTTTAAGTAACCCACAAGGAAACCTGTACTTCCTAATTTTTTCCTCTTCGTTCATAGTTTCCCCTACCGGTGCAACGTGAATTGGTGTCGAACGCAAGTGCTTCAGACGAGCCACAAAACGACTTTTCACCGCAGCCTCATCAAGACGTCCCCGATTCACTGGCATCACCGAATGGCGTGTCACCCCCTGTCCAACGCAATGGTTTGCTATCGCGTCTTCACGTCGCAACTGTATGGCTAAACTTCCCCACCCCCAAGCGCCTTCCAAATAAACGGCGTATTGAGCTTCTTAGGTAAGATTCCATCTTTTCTAAAAGAAACCACCCTCATGAGAAAATGAATATTTTTCATCCCTGACATTCGCTGTTTGCCACCTCGAGAAGAGTGGCCTCTTTTCACAGAGGTACCTCTTCGGAGGATTATAGCAGTTTGTTGTTGATCTTTCTCTATGCGTTCCTTTTTTCCTCCGACCAAAACCTGTCTATAGATCGGATTGGAACTTGTTGAGCACAACTACCCCATCCATCAAAGCCTGGATGGATCCATGTAATCGGCTCATTTCCGTGTGTCAGCAGCTGTATGGCAATGCGGAACGTCGAATCCTTGCGGTCACCACATGCCTGATGACGGAGGCTATCAATTACAAACTACCTACAGAAAACGGATTGTTCATATTCCAGTGTTTCGGGAACGAAGTGAGTAGCACGGTTTACTTCTGGGTAACTGGTGGATTGAAATTGGAACCTCGATTATTCCCTTCCCACTTTGGCTCTGTTTCTTCTAAAAAACAAGTTTATTTGAAGTATTAATACTGCCAATAAAGAATTGCATTTGAGCCAGCGTAGCCATGTCGGTTTCTCTTCATCCGCGTCAAAAATTTATGCGGAACGAAGGAAAGTGAGTAAACTTTAGACTGGGGGAAATCAGCAATCAGTATTGAAGGGGAGCACTGATAATTCTCATGAGGATGTGAGGCAGATAAATGATTGCCCATCCAATCGATACTCAGAGCCTGTGCAAAACGTTTTCCTGAAACGTCTCTTAAAGCTACGAATATCTACAATATGAAGAAGCTTGCTACTTAGGGACTGTGGTACCCTAATTCGCACATCATGCAGTGGTTCAAAAGCAATTCCGTGTGGGGTGTCAACGAAACGGCCAAAACATAGCTACTTGGGTTTCCTCCTATTCAATCTAAATGGTATATTCTCGGAACTACTCCTTGGGATTTGTTGTTTGACGGTTTCCACAGGAGCCGATGAATTGATGGGCACTCAGTACGGTGCTATGACGGAAGAGTTTGTCCTCTTTTAATCTTGCCTGGTGACAGGTGGCTGCGAAGGCCACGTCCAAGAGGGAGGTATAGAAAGCTCCGTTAAAAGTTTTGTATTTATCCTGTAATCGTTCGTTGTCGCAGTCTTGTTTTGTTGCATAGTTTCCGCATCGCGAATACTAGTCTCAGCTTTGCGTACCGATGCCCCATCTCCGCAAAGCAACGGAAGTATCTACAGTACAGCAAATGCTCAACAGTTGCGCTACGAACACCTGATCAAGTTTTTCGCTTAGCCATATAGAACGTTAGTGGGCTCATTTGGGCGGCTAACACAGCCGACCGCATGGAGTGGATACGTGGATCCTGTCTTGGAAAATGAATGCCAGCGGTGACTTGGGATTTGGCATTTGTTACTGTTTTCTTCCATTTCGGTTGATGAACTGTGCTCGGTCTTATCCAGACGTAACATACTACTCATAAAGCTGTTGGAAATTCTTCGAGGAGTTTTCAGCTGAGTATTCAGTTGTGTCTCTTGTCAAAACCGAATTCGTGTGTAACTGAGAGTGTTCGTCGTACAATCGGTCTTCTTATGAGGCTCCAGCTGGTCTCCTGTTGTGTCTATTTGCGGTGGCGCACATCTGGAACTGCTTACGCTGCCTACCGTATAAAAAAATTCAAGTCAACTTGCCGCCGCGTATTTTTTTAATGCGTCACGTAACCTATGAAAATGCTGTGATTAATCTAATGCAAGGCTTGGATTGGAGTCTGGAGTAGAACCCGTCTCTCTCGACCAGTATAAAGTATCCTCCAGCTGTAGCACCCTTACGGTACCTAACTGTCATGCCACCGAAAGGAACAGCAAGGGCTGGGATACTGCCAGGTTGCCCAAGCCTAGACAGAGGAAGTCGAGAGGCAGAAGTTGACCTCTAATCACGAACCTTCTGGTTAATAAATTCACGCTCCAATTTATGAGCCATCTCGTCGGTAGCTCACATTTTAACGCCTGTAAATTGTCTGCCTTGTTGTTTGTGAGCCATTGTCGCATTGTGTGTAAGGTCTGCCTGTCATTTCATCACGAATGCTCTCTATTTTCTCTCCTCTAGAGCTTGAGTGCCTATGCGCGGCGCCGTGCGCCAAGCGCTCGTGCTATCCACTTCGATCCTAGCTGCCAGCTCTTTGTTGTGCTTCGACAGTATCTAAACACTCTGACCGCACAGTATGGCGTATTGGAAACTGATCGTCTGTTGAGCGAATGGTTGAAAGATAGTGTGGTTCCGCCGAACGATCTGCTGCAATGTGGCATCCTTTCATTGACGCGCGAGTGGCGCTCTCTGGTCGAGCTGCTGGCAGTCCTTGCTCAGGATCTTCAAAACGCTGACCGACTTTCACTTGGTGGTCAGGTAGTCCCGGCGAAAAAAGCCGATCATGGTGGCATCGGGCGTGTCGACAAACAGACAGCTGATCTTTCTGGCCTGCATGAGTTTGTCACGAAAACACTAAAAAGCACCGGATTATCGGATCGTAAGTTCGTCCAGCCCTCTATCGTTCCAAAGGTCGGATTCGTACCTGGCTCTGTCGCCACGGACGCTGCATCGCATCTACTCCGAATGGCCACGACTCCGTTGTCTCCCATTCCCAGTCGATACCTTTCGCCGAAAGTCGACTCCAAAACAGATGTTCAATGTACGTTTCATACCAACTTCACACATCCTTCGAGTTTCAATGTGAATTTTCTCATATCATTGCTGTTTCGTTTCTCTTCTTCAGGCTTTGTTAATGAACAATATGTAGATGACCAGCCGCCTGCATCAACTCAAACACATGCACTGATCTCTAGCGAAGGAGTTGGATTCGAAATGACCAGGGACGAATATGGAAATAACACAACTAGTCTAGATGATGCCGGCAAAGAGATTCAAAATCCAATTCTTCGAAGATTCTTGCATGACGCCAAAATCCCGTTGTCTGTGTAAGTTTGGTTATGTGTGTGTGAAGTTTTGTTTGGACTCCCCACAGTGACCTACTCACTGCGCCCCAGCGGCACTGGTGTGCTATCCTGCTTGTTACTAATTAGATCGGACAATGGCACTAGTTACACTAACCACTTAGTTGTCGTCTACGCTGAACCTTGTGGTTTCTTCCTTTATAAGGTACTTTGTTCTAATGTTGAAATCGGTGCCCGTGAACTATCTTTTCCATAACCTGCAGTAAAACCTTATCAAGACACCCACTTGTTTTTATATGACCTGCCTCCCGACTTATTGTGGTTACGGGTCATAACTAACTTATGCAAGAACACCCCGAGAGAAACCGCCATTTGACCTATTTAGTCTCATCCGTGGGAATCTTTGCTCTTCGGCAGATTATACACAAGTTAATGATGAACGTTGTTGTGGACCCACTAGGGGAGTAGTCTCTTTGTCGTAGTAACCACAATAATACCTCAGATCATTAGTCGGGTCCCGTTGTATTATCGCAATCTGCAGTTAATTTAGTTTCCTCATGACGAACACACTGAGTGAGTCTTGCTGAATAATTCCACGTCGTTATTTTTTCGCAGAGCTCAGCAACCTCCTAACATCTCTCAAGGACATTTCGCTACAGTTGCTGTTCGGGACACTCCTCAAACTCGCATGGAAGTCCCGCTTACCGACACTGTCGTTCGACGAGCCTCGGATCCAGCCTTGCGCTCAGCACCTGCAGTTAGCGCTGTCGGTCCACTACAGTTGGTCGATGAGACTCTCGAACATGAAGATCGTCCCAAATCCCGGAGAATTTCAAGGCATGTTAGGACAACGTTAAATCGCAATGATTCGTCTCAGCCAGGCATCGCGCATCATGGAGACTATAAGCTGACGACAGAGGACTTCGAACATGTAGCTCACCTTAATGCGCAGTTCCAACAAGTCGCGTATATTCAGCGATTCTTTTCACCGCTTCTTGAATCAGTTGGATTGAGTGCAAAAGTCAGTCCTTGTTCATATTAAATTCCCACTTTTGACTTTATCCCCCTCCTCTCTGTTTCACATAATATTTCTAAACACCTTCACCTATTACAGGGTATCCGTCGCACTACATTGATGAAAAAATTTGATGGCTTCTTCTCCGCTGAAGGGCTTCTGCAGACTTTCCAGATCGAAATTGTCCTATCTGTTCGTAACCCCCTGGCTACACGCGCACCACCATCCTCAGCAACTGGATCGGTACCAAGCGCCTCGACTATGGGAACACCCTCCTGGCGTACTCCTGTTGGAATGCCACCTACTCGGAAGTCGACTTTTTTGTGTCGCAATTTCGGATCAAAGCTCACTTTTCGTGATGTTGTTGATTTGTCTAGCAGGAAAGGCCATAGTGTAAGTACGCTTTGGCGTTATCCTGGTTTCAGTAATTCGATATATTACTTATTTTTGTTCCTAGTACTATTAGACACTTCATGCACATTCAGTCTATCCGACCACATTTTCGAATCGAACGCGGTTCCCATGCTTTTAGGAAAGTAGCTTTTCATGACGTAATGCCTCTCCCTGAGAATGAGTGTCCCTCCAATATTCACCCAACTTGCTTCCTAACTAGGAGTGTTGCATAATATTATTATTCGTTCAGCTGTAACACCCTCTCGGTGCCTAACTACCATGCCACCGGAAGATTGCACGACGGCTGGGATACTGCCAGGTTTGTCAAGCCTAGACAGGGAAATCGAGGGGCAGGGGTCGGGTTCGAACCGGTGACCTTCCAGTCGGTGAATTCGCGCTCTAACGACTTGGGCCATCTCGCCCCAATATTACAATTACTTATTCTTGCTTACTATTGCTTACCAAGCACCAAGGCCTCCCGGGGTCGTTTTTTCTACTACGTTTCTCCAACTTCAGCGATCAGCACAACGATTAATTCACGTAAATGTTCGTTCAATATATCCATTAGAAACTATGCAGAACCACAACTGGCGGATATAAACGCAAGTTTTTAGCTTATCCGGGCAACGATTGAAGTTATTTGAAACGCAGTTTAGATTACTCTGGAATCTCTCCCAGTTAAGCACAAATAGGCTAGACAGGCACTGACTGAGTAATTCACTGTCATCCTTGAATAGAGCCGGTGGAAGGTCGTCAGAACCAGCAACAGGATAACGCTCGAGTAGAGATTTACAATAGGATACTTGTGAGGGCGATTGGAGTCCCATGTTTGCAGTCTACCTTTCTGTTGAAGGCCGGGAGTCCGGGTGGGAGTTAGCAGGCGGGCAACCGAGTTGTTGTGCGAAACTTTCTGCCCACAGGTCCAAACGTCCTGCTTCTGGCCCCGTTAATTTCGCTTCCGAGGACCAGTCGGACAAATCAAGTGAAACATCGTGCAGGCGTTTCCCATTCTTACGTCTTTCGGTCGACCAAGATTTTCAGTCTGTACGGACAATCATGACGTGGCATCTGATGACGCGTCGGGTTGAGTTGTGGTTGCGGCCGGGAAGGATCTATCACCGGGCCTCCAGCAAAGCGACGGTCCTATCAGGGATCCAACGTTTGGATGAGGTTGGCTGGGTTGCTAAAAATACTTTACGGAATAATTATATAGCGATGCTGTTAGTTTGCATATTATGGAGTAAAGTAGTTTTCAGAACATGTTGGGTTTTTTGAAAATACGATTTGGTCACTGGATGAAGATGGTGGACAGAAGACTGTCGTAGTCTAATAGGTCGATGATACATTCACCTGTTGATGGACCAAGTTATTAGAGCGCGAAATAACTGACTGGAAGGTCCTGGTTTGAACCCCGACCTCTGCTTCTCGACTTCCGCTGTCTAGGCTTGGGTAGCCTGGAAGTATCTCAGCCCTCGTGCCTCCTTCGTGTGACATGGTAGCTAGACACCGAAAGGGTGCTGCAGCTGAACGATTATTTTTTATTTATTTATTGATCTTAACTAACCTCTACAGATGAAATCTTTCGCCAGGTTCTCTTTGAAACGCTGTATGGTTTCGGTGTAACAATCCTCACTAACCATCAGGTTCATCGTTTGTGTGGTTCCAGGCCATATCAGCGACTTCGGATTACTTGGTTTCTTTAGTCTACACCGCACGGCTGCGAATCTCCAGCAAGATAGTTCTTGTCCATAGTATTTTGGAGCTAATTTTTACTGGACCAATTGAAGACCCAAAGGAACAATACTGGAATCCGAACAACTGGGACCCTGTTTCGTGGACGTGACTCTCGAATCACGTTCAGTAGCTGCACGAAGTTCTTCAACACACGCTAGTTCCTGTGACTGGTCGTCCGGGGTCGCTATACGAGTAGTCACGTTCTCAGTGCGTCCAACGTTGAGTAAGACATGAAGATTTTTTCGGTGTGATCCACAAGGTGGTCCTACTGCATTTATTAATTGGAAGAGGGTCTGTTTCCGGTCGGTCGAATTCGCAGGTCGGTTCGCCTCACAGATCTTCCCCGATTGGTCTCATCTGAATTGGTAGATTATAGCGCTCCAAGTGTGTGCACTAAATGGTTCGCAATGAGGTTTATCATAATGTTCTTTACCTCTCTCTTTTTCAGATGGATAGTTCCAACCAAAAGTTGGACATTACACCCACGACCACCAAGCTTGATGTGATGTCCAATATCGAGTCGCTCCGGTTGCACATTAACCTACCACTTCTGCGTCTTGTACACCAGTTCATCACCATGGTCTACTATGCACGGGACACACACAAGATCCTAGAAGCTGGTCGGCCGAAGCAACATACCACACCGCCTGTTGGAATGCAGCTAGCACAGAAACCAGATTCAAAAGGTTTGTGCGTTCGTCAGGTCTGTATATGTTCCGCTTGTAAATATAGTGTTCATCGGGGGCGAGATGGTCCAAGTGGTTAGAGCGCGAAATTGCTGACTGGAAGGTCCGTGGTTCGAACCCGACCTCTGCCTCTCGACTTCCCCTGCCTAGGTTTGGGCAACCTGGTAGTATTCCAGCCCTCGTGCTTCCTTCTGGTGGCATGGCAGTTAGGCACCGAAAGGTTACTACAGCTGAAGGAAAGTGTTCATCAGTAGGTATCATTAGCTGGAAGTAAGTCAAACAGATTAGCCAACCCGTTTAGGGTGACGTTTGACAGTGAGTTGTAAATCTGCTAGTGATGCGTTATACTCTCCTAACGCTAGAGTCTTTCACAGCTGCGACTCTTGGTCAGAGTAATCAACTATCGCTTCCTATTCACGCATTTGTTGACCACTGCTTGTGACAGGATGCATACACGGACAATGATGTGTAAACGGTCCTAAATGGGATGACCTCTGTTTGCATCGCTGGGAATATTCTGTGTGGATCAGATGTTTGCAAGCCCTCTTGAATGTGAACTGTGTATTCCGTTTGCCAGTTTCTGCCATAATTTTCGCTCCTCCTGACGTTCGAATTCCAAACAATCCTGCAACGACTCAGTCACTCGTCATCTTCAGCCGTGAAAACCACGTACATGTTTCACAGTGGTTATTGTTGCAAACGTTTCGTTTTCTGATGGTCAGGAGAGATATGGGTGGGCAGATACGCTTTGGAGATAATAATTGATGTACCTGATGCGTGAATCACGCATTTACGGTGGACTTTCCACTGGGGAGATCAGGGGGAAGCTATGGATTGGAGGCAACACTCTGTCTGTATGTGAGACATTGAGCGCGCGAGTGGACTGTTTCATGGTCTCCAACCATCGATGTTTCTCCGCTCGGGTTCCCCATCTGTTCCTCGTTCCCACCCTCCGTGGAAACCACTCTTTGAGGAAGTCGGTAAACTGCAATGCCAAGCGCAGCAGCATTAGACGTCATATAACTATGGCTTACTCCCAGTATTCTCTGCCGATCCACCCGTCATCCTCAAAGTGGATCATTTTCTATGTCGCTGACTTTGGTGATTCTGTCTGGATACGGTAGAATCGACGGGTGGGTGGTTGACACAACCAATCAGCAGCAGGCAAAAGGTTTGGATATCGCACCAAGTGGTAATCACCTAAGAAGACACTCTAAGTTCGACTGGATCGTCAGGAATGTGAGTGCCAAATCGGAAAGGCATACAACCTTTGTAATCGAGGCGTGGGTGGGTTGACACCCAATCGGATTGACCTAGCTGCTGTCGACCAAACTCGCCCAGCCGCACAAAGGAAACTGCAGAAACCTAGATGTACATAAAACGGTTCTGGGACTTCACTGAAACAAGGAGTCGAGTTTGTCATACGAACAGAAGCTAATCAGATTAACTGAGCTACATCAATCGGGGAATAATGATCATCCGGCTTCGACTATCAAGAAAACGTTTCGTCGATTTTATCGATTCGTGTGCCTCCCGGATACCTCACGCAGTAGCTACGAACAGTTGTCAGCTGTCGTCACACCCATTGGGTCAAGTGGTCGCCGATCCCTCATAGACGAATCGTTCGTAACACAGAGACTGGGAAAAGAATAAATTGGGCTGTTTGGAACCACCAGCGCAAACGTTGTACATTCTATTACTCTATTGGTGTGTTATTTACCAACATCGGCTGTTTTTCAAATCGACAGTTTTGTCCGTTCGTGTAATGTTTCATGACCGGTTTCTCGGCTCTAAGGTTGCCTAGTCTTTCGAAGCGCTGTTTTTTTCTCGCTGTATACTTCTGTCTGGTCTTTCAGTCACGTATTTCGTGCAACCTTCGGGTGGCATGACAGTTAGGCACCGGAAGGGTGTTCCAGCTGAACGGTAAACAGGATAGGTTCGGTTTCAGCTGGTTCGCTCTGATAATGTTGTCCAACGCATGAATAAACCGCCCTGGTCCGCCTACTCTCGTTTTGTTCTCATTCACCAGGTTCTTCCGATGGTACGGAGGGAACTTTACGGTCGAGATCCTCGGGCTATGTGCGGTTGGGTGAAGGTTCGGTGGAAAGTGGTGGCCACGGAAACAGCTCCACAGATGTGCCGAGTAAGTATACCTCATTTACAGTCTCCCCTTCCAGTATGCCATCTTGCTATGCTTTAACTACATTAATCTTACCACGGGAATGCGGAAATAAGCAACTCCAATGGAATGGCATTCCATTCCTGGCCAGTCAGCACGCGACCCTGAGATATGGACTCCGTAATTGAAGAATGAGATTCACCATGTCCTATCCATGTTTCGACTCACCACACTATTGATTAGCAGCTCATATCCTAACGGTAAAATGTCCAAACTACTTGCTGGAAACCCTCTGAGTTTCATTGCTGATGATATCCAAGAAGGATGAAACAACTGTACAGTGCTCGTCTGCTTTTTGGCACAGATTGGGTGCACTCACTGGATGAAATCTTTGTTGAATATGAGAAAACCATTTGTGCACCATAGATTTATTGACATGAAGATCAGATAACCATACGTCTATAGCATCTTCTCACGCTTAATTCAGCGCCAATTTGTTTGTCCTTCTTTCGTACAGTACCGATTCATGCTTTCATTGAGCCATTTCCTGAGCAACACTCAAGTGAGGTGGCGTCTAGTTCAAGTGTGGAGAAGGATTCACATAAGGGCTATCCTCTTGTGAGCAGTATTCCAACAACCACACCCACTAGCTATCAGCTGGTCATCTCAGATAGCATCGCTAAGCCCACCTTCGTCGGCATTCGCCCCACTGCAGCCGAATTGCCCGCTTGTTGGCGCCGGTTGCTCAACTACGTCGACCTGTATACCACCGTCCCGAAAACAAAAACTGTCATGCGTAAGGTGAGTTACTGTTTTATTTTAGAGACTTTCGAACGTTATTTTAGCTTTTTTATTTCACAACGGGTGGTAGCACATTGTATGACAACAGAAAGTGCAGTTCGATTCCTTGTATTCTAGCCCCCGTCCACAATGCCAACGATCACTGAGGATGACTCCGACGTTCGGTGGTTACCGGCCGGTCGATCTAGAGCCGCCTTTGAAGGGAACACGACAAGTTCACAGGAGGCAAGCACACCGCCCGGTGCTGTCACCATGAAGGTACGCTCTGGCTTTTTGAATTACGCTGCATAGTTTGCAAACTTTTTCGTAGGAAATGACTCGAATCCCAACAGTAGAAGACTGACACTTCTCCCTAGAGTGGAACATTCGCTTGCTAAGTGATACAGTGTTCGTGGGCGGTTTATATGTATTCCTCCTCCACGGTATCCTTCGACCTAATCTGTCGGGCGAGGAATCCAACCGTGGTCGGAAGATTTTTACCAACCCCCATCGTAGGAAAGAGAAATACTTCTATTTTGGCCTATCGGAACCCGTGGGCCAGTGTTGCGCAGTAGATTCGGATGAATAATATCGTAAACGGATGCTCCCATTAACCTGACAAATAGCTTCTTATCAAGGAAAACATCCGGTATATCGCCTTGCTGATTTTCATCACCATACGCTGGCAGATAAATGGAGTGAACTTGGGTGGTCCCTACCAAAACAGGAAACTGCTTTGCCTGTCAGCTGCGTTCCTGACTGGTTCGGCGCATGGCTGTTCTGTTGACATGACATGCTCGGTTGTTCCCATTGGTCCATTATGCAGTCGGATATTCGCTGCGTTTGATTCTCTAGTCATGCATACTTGAGAAGACACCTGTTGCAGCTCACTCCTGTCTCCACTCCATTATCTCTGTTAGGGTTCCCGATAGGGAACTTTGAGTGACGCGTAAGTTGGACGATCCCGAATTTCAAAGGGAAGAATGGGGTTCGAAATTCTACGGTACTACTTGTACAAGGGTAATCAAGTGCACACAACAAACCTCAATTGTCCACGTTCGTAGCGTCACGGCGAACACAAGTCTATCATTGACCGGCACCGTGCAGTGTCAACGTCCGAACAACAGCGAGCGGAATGTTGGCTCACTAGTGTGGGTTGAGGTCGTCCCTTCCGACGGCGGTTTCGCGGTTCTCATCAGCGGTGCGATCACACGGAACTCATGGGGGGAAAACAAGTTAAGGCAGGCGCGGCAAACGGTACTCGAATACTCATGGGTAGGTAGGTCAGCTGCACAAATTCACGCATATACATGGTAATACACAAGTGTCGGACGGACGGCCTTTGCGTCAACGCGAGTTGCTGGTACAAAGTGCACCATGAGTGGAGTACATAAGCAGAGTAAGCAAATGAAGGGGGGAATTATCTTGAAGTCAAGTTATATTGGATAACCTCAATGTCAGAAAAGGACTCTCCAACGAGAAGCACAACCGAGCTTTATTCCAAACAAATAAATGCGAAAGTTAGACAGGTCCTCGCGGTATTTGGGGCGCACTTTCTAACTTCATCCAGTTTGCCTGATCGGCTTTGGGTGAACACTCCTCATAGTCGGTTGTTGCTTCTGCGATGTGCCCGAACACTCTTTATCGTAAACCGTGCTTCTATGGCACGCCTGAACACTCGTCATCGTCAGCTGTTGCTGAATTGATTGACTGCTTGAGCGTCCAATCTACAGCTTTTCTAGCCCGCCCAGATGCTTGGTGGTGGAGTTTGAGGGACTGTTTTCAAGACGAACTGATCTTTTTTCGTTATTTGTCTGTCCTGGACTTCAGCCCCAGTCTATCTAGGTCGTATCAGTATGCATTTTCCTGTTTTTATGACATTTCGGTTTTACGGTCCTCCTGGTAACCTGGCTCACTTATTCGTTGTTATGCCCAGTCTAATTAAAATGTCCCATCTTCCGTTTCCCTTCCCTAGCCTATTCTCCTCGGAAGACGGCTTCTTAGCACTGTGAGCTATCCATATACATGGTAATACACAAGTGTCGGACGGACGGCCTTTGCGTCAACGCGAGTTGCTGGTACAAAGTGCACCATGAGTGGAGTACATAAGCAGAGTAAGCAAATGAAGGGGGGAATTATCTTGAAGTCAAGTTATATTGGATAACCTCAATGTCAGAAAAGGACTCTCCAACGAGAAGCACAACCGAGCTTTATTCCAAACAAATAAATGCGAAAGTTAGACAGGTCCTCGCGGTATTTGGGGCGCACTTTCTAACTTCATCCAGTTTGCCTGATCGGCTTTGGGTGAACACTCCTCATAGTCGGTTGTTGCTTCTGCGATGTGCCCGAACACTCTTTATCGTAAACCGTGCTTCTATGGCACGCCTGAACACTCGTCATCGTCAGCTGTTGCTGAATTGATTGACTGCTTGAGCGTCCAATCTACAGCTGGCTTTTCTAGCCCAGATGCTTGGTGGTGGAGTTTGAGGGACTGTTTTCAAGACGATATCTTTTCGTAGAACTGATCTTTTTTCGTTATTTGTCTGTCCTGGACTTCAGCCCCAGTCTATCTAGGTCGTATCAGTATGCATTTTCCTGTTTTTATGACATTTCGGTTTTACGGTCCTCCTGGTAACCTGGCTCACTTATTCGTTGTTATGCCCAGTCTAATTAAAATGTCCCATCTTCCGTTTCCCTTCCCTAGCCTATTCTCCTCGGAAGACGGCTTCTTAGCACTGTGAGCTATCAGCCGCTAAATGAAGACATCGAAATGGGGCACATCCCTACTTCCACAATGGCAACGAGACCTTCAGAAGTTTTGCAAATAAGCACACGACCCGCCGCTCCCCCCTTGTCAACAGACCAAGTATCCTCAACGGGAGTAAGTCCAGGTTTGTTCACTTCCGAAGATGGTGCACCAAAACCCACAGCCCCATCTCCTCTACGCTACACAAAGGAGCCTTTGATCTCATCTACTGCCATGGAGCAGCTCACTCTTCCATGGGTATGCAGCGAACGCATGCCGCTCAAGATTTTTGTGTCCACGAAGATCCAGCAAGTGGATGTTAGTGCAGTTCTGAGCGAATTGAATCTGATCGCCGGTATTGGTGACGTCCATGGATCGATGACACACTCGACGCGCATTCGCGGACGAGGTAAGCTGGTTCTTTTTTCCCTTGTTCGTGTAGGCTACCTTTGTATGAGATATAGTTTTCAGTGCAATCATCTTTAATCAACATTAAAACTGATACATTAACGGGTGACTTGGACCCATGCGAAGAATTCTTGGCCTCGCCTTTTTAGTTACTCTGATCAGCTGCGGGATGGGAGGTTCATCGTCAACACTCAACCCGACTTCTGCCCTCGACTTCCCCTGTCTAGGCTTGGG